ACCAGTGACCGAACTATTTGTAGTCTATAAGCTCCTCCTCCAAAATTAACATGGAGCTCCTCTTCAACGATAATTACATCTGTATATTGCTCCATGTCCACCCACCCTACTGTCGCATCTGGTGCACTTAATGAGAGGTTATTCCCTTACCCGCTCAGTTAAACAATCGGGTCAAGCACATCCTAAACAAGTTTGTAACACTTCTTAAATATATTTTTTATTATATAATTTCCATAACTTCTATCTTCATCGACCCTATGTTATTACCGCTATTTCTAAAAACCCGATTGTGTTTGTAAGATGAAATGTTCAAATTTATTAATATCAATATATCAAAGCGTAATGCAGCGTCAATCACGGCAACTACTGGGAAAAGCTGGGTTATTTGCTTGGAGCAGTGGTCGTCAACCTGTCGATCACGAGCTACCGGTAGCTCGCAAAATCCATTCTGGTGGTTCACAATATAATTTAAAAAGGTGTAAAAATCATAGAAGCTTCCGTAAATGTTGTAAATTCTCATAATAAACACAAGCAGCGGCAACACTGCGGGGAGCGATCTGTTCGAGAACGATCTCGATTATTTTGAACAGAATAAATATGCAAGGCGCGGCGACAGTGCGCTCAGTTTATAACTGAATGGCACAATGTCCAGCGGTTGGGTTAGAGTTGACTTGACATTAAAAACATTATGAGCAGTAGTAAAAAGATGAAGTCGTACCATTTCCATTTGGAATGGGAAGAACACTATTTTTTTACATAAATTAAAGGTAAAAATGTATGTTTCTTATATGATACCCCTCTTTCTGTTGCTAAAAAAGGGAATATTGAGAGGCACAATAAAACTATACATTCGAATTTTGAAAAACCACTCCCATACGTTCTGCAACTAGAACGGAAAAACTGAAACAATTAAAATATCATTTAATTGGACAAAAGGCAATGTTTTTAAGAACAATCGACAAAAGTAAGGCTGCAACTGAAGCATCATACCGGGTGTCCCAGATAATTACACAAGAAACCTTATGAAGATGGGGAAATGATAAAACAGGCATTCTTGGAAGCTGCAGATTCATTGTTTGCCAACTTTAGAAATAGACGAGATAGTGTCTGCTATAAAATCTATGCAACTTTCTGCTAATACAGTGATGAGACGAGTAGAAGTAATGAGCAATGATATAGTTTTACAGTTAAGAAATAACTTCGATAACTGTGCTTATTTTTCACTGCAGCTATATGAATCCACAGATACGTTGACACCTCTCTGATGGCCGTGTTCGTCAGGATGGTTTTTAGTGATTTTACGATTAAAGATCTTTTGAAGTTTATTCCACAAAACGGACAGACTACTGGGCAGGACTTGTTTTATTCTTTTATAAATATTATTTCTGCTGAGAAAATTCCAATATCGAAAATGGTAGGCTTGACAACCGATGGCGGTCCAGCTATGATGGGTCTTGATAAGGGTTATGTCATACAGATGAAAGTTTTACGCAATTTGTCTGTTACCACTGCATAATCCATCAGCAAGCATTATGTGGACATTTTCTAAAACTAAACAACGTTATGAAATTGGTAGTAAAAATTGAGCTCAAGCGATACAAAGAAGATTATTCAAAACCTTGGCCAATAAAATTAACTGTCAATACGGGGAGTTACTTCTTCACTCTAAAGGGGACGAGTGCTGAAACGTTTTAATGATATCATATCTGCATGGTTCAATGTTTCAAACAACGTGATGAACCAATTTCGGAACTGAAAAATTCTATCTGGCTTAGAGATTTTGGCTTTCTTCTCAAAGAACTAGCAGAAATGATTTCTGATACAAAAAAGTTTATCAAAAAGCTTGAGCTATAGGAACAAAACTTAATCGATGGCGATACCAGGCGTTTTCCCAGATCTTTCGGAAAAGGTATCTCAAAGTCCATTAGCACCATATGACAGTAAACATCATTTAGAAATAGCCTCTAGCTTGAAGGATAACTTCAAAAATCATTTCAAGGGTTTCTACGAAATTGCTATAGTGGCGCAATTTGTTGTTTCACCCTTAATGGAAGTTGATATCCAACAGTTTGCAACTTCTGTTACGCAGAATTTTAGCGAATGCGCCGCTGCGACAGAAATGGAAGTGATTGCGTTTCAAAATGATTTAGCTTTACAATCATTAGTCTCCAATACAAAATGTATCTGGCCTTCAGTAAGTAAAGATAAATATTCAGTTTTATGTCGTTTTGTCTTGTAAGTGAAAGCGTTATTTAGTTCAACCTATTGGTGTAAATCTTCTTTTTCAAATATGAAGTTTGATAAAAACAAATACCATAATCGACTTACAAATGAACATTTGGATAATTGTATTCGAATGGCGGTATCAAATTATACTACAAACATTAAAAAAATTGTCAGTGAGTTGTCAGGCTTTCATTGAACACGCGTTTTTAATGCGGACATGTTTCTGTCTAAAATAGTGGGTTGCTTTTTTTATTTTTAGTTACCTTTATTAAATCATATGTGACATGCCATTGTAGCTGACGAAAAATTTAGTTTATTTTTCAAACACCTACGATTGGTAGGAATGGGTGTACTTATGTAGTATGTATTAGTTATTAGATTATTGAAGTTTATTAGTGTGTATTAGTATTACTAAAATGAACACACGTATGTCGCATACAACTGTGTGTAATTTCATTTATGTTGGCTTACATTGCTTACGACTAGGTAGCTCACTGTTTATTCCAAACGAAGTACTTTTCTCCACAAAATTGAATAATAAACCGTCTTTTATTAGAAAAACAAATTACAGATAATGCATACATTAATATCTATAATTAGATTAGTGAGCAGCTTAATGGCGAAGTTTAGCTATGGCAGCTATCCTTACACTTAACCATTAACTGCATAAGAATAATAGATGGTAAAAAAGTACAGCTGTAAAGAAAATAAAAGGAGGCAAATGCCCATGTAACTGATTACAACCAAAATAAAAATTAGCTTAAAAATATAATGCTGGAGAAAAACACCTTTAAGAATCACCATTGAGCAGAAGAGCTCTTAAATGTTTTTTAAAACTATACAGCGGCAGGCTTTTTGTTCTGTAATCTAAGCTATTGTACAACATGCATGCATTATATGAGAAGGACCTGTTAAAAATAGATGAACTGTGAAGTGGCATTGTTAAAGCGAATGTGTTACGGATATGTCGTTGATGAACATTATACCTAAAAATTAGTTTTTCACGTAAATAAATTGGGAGTTCCAGAGACAAGTTACTTATGTATAAAGGTTAGATAGTTGTATTTAATTAAATCTGTCATCTTTAACCAACCTATTAAAGGATAACGATCCGAAACATGATCAAATTTTCTTAAACTAAATATGAATCGTACGCAGTTATTTTGTACTACAGATATTCTGTTACGACTTGCAACATCCAAACAAGGATGATAAACTAGATTGCAATAATTAAAAATAGATAACACAAAAGATTCACACAACTTTTTTCGCACTTTAAAATTCAGCAAATTTTTGTTCGCATACAGAGTTCTCGGACGGATGTAACTTCTTTGTAAGAGGTTATTTAAATGTTCACGAAGCCGCACGTTTTCTTTAATAGACACACCTACACACTTGACACTTTCAGGAAAAGGAAGATTGTGATTGTTAATAGATATACTCAAGGAAGCTTTGACTTCGGCTCTTCTGTTATTTGGACAAAACAGCACAGCAGAAGATTTAGACGCATTAACAGTTAGGCTGTTATTGGCTGAGTAGGTGCAAATAGAGTCAATGTCCTCGTTAATTTCCATAGTAGCAGTCTGGAGGTTCTCAGGATAAAAGAAGTAAAGCAGTTGTGTGTCATCCGCATAAGACTGTAGCTGTGAATTTTGAATGGACTTAGCAATATCGGCTACATAAATTAAAAATAACATGGGTCCTAAAATTGAGCCCTGAGGCACACCCGAAGTGATAAAGTGCTCATTTGACAAAACTCCAGAAAGTGAGACGCGCTGACAACGGTGGGTTAGGTATGACTTAAAAAACTGCAGTGCTATTTTATCAAAACCATAAAATTTTAGCTTAGCACACATCAGTGCGTGATCAATTCTATCAAAGGCCTTGGAGAAATCCAGTGAAACTAAGGCGATACACATTTTTTTATCAAGGGCCCTGATGATGTTGTCCACAAAATTAAGAAGAGCAGTTGTAGTACTGTATGATTTTCTAAACCCAGACTGATGTACTGGGAGTATGTCACTTGAATCTAATAAATCTAAGATTTGCAAATAAATGATTTTCTCCAAGATCTTTGACAAAACACTCAAAAGACTGATGGGCCTAAGATCCGAGAAATCGGTGGGCTTCCTGACCTTAGGTATTGGCCTTACTATTGCTCGTCTCCAAGATTTAGGAAAGTAAGTAAGTAAGTAAGTGCCAAATGTGTTATTGTGATAAAAACTGAATGTTGTTTCGTCGGGCTGAGCACAATGAAACACTGATGCAAAATAATCGTTCATAGCGCTTGGATCATTGAGATGGAATACTTTCAGTTCTTGTCTTTGAATTAAAGCCACCGATATTTATGTTACCTAAAGCTCTGCAAAGTTCTTTCGACATATGATGCTCTTGCAAGAAAGATAGGTAACCCGCTTTTTCACGCCTAATTGACGCAAGAGCAAAATTACGTTTTTCTTTGTAGCTTAACCAACTCGTTACTATTTTATCGGATTTATATTTTCCAAGTGCAACATCACGTTCTTTCAGAATAATTTTTAACGGAAAGGTCAACCAACGGGCCTGACATTTATTGACTCTCACCGTTGTGAGCGGCGCGTGGATATCAAAAACGTTAAGAATGTTTCTTGTAAGGAAATACACTTTTTCATCGATGTCATTCGATAATATCAGGTCGTGCTAAGCAATTGAGCTCAAATCACTACAAAATCCGTTTTCATCAAAGTTTTTAAAATCTCGAAAAGAGATGAAAGTTTGCTTAGTTTTTTTGACAGCAATTTCCAGCGAGCAACATACAAGTCGGTGATGGGAAAGTTCCCCAGCATCCAAAACCATTGTGCCGGTAAAAAGTTCTTTAGTATTTGAAAAAACTGCATCAATCAGAGTGGCTGAAGTTTCCGTGATACGGGTTCTTTAACCATTTGGCAAAAATCATAACACGAAAAGCATTTATTAAGATTATTGTCGGCATTAGATAAATCAGAGTTTATGTCACCTAATATTAAAACGTTATCGTACTGACAGATGCACAAAGGCAGGACGGAGTCCCACACTTTAGCAAAATCGCCAAAGGACATAGATGGGGGTCTGTAAATGACACCAATGCAAAAATTTTCTTTATGAAGAATAACCTCTAGCCAGATGCTTTCCATAACTGTGCTGGTATCAATACCAAAGTCAAGAAGTCTCACCTGATACATAGATTTAATATAAATGCCAATGCCACCTCCTCGGCCTTCTCTATCTCTGCGATAAAAGTTATACTCTGGAACTTTAAAAACTTCAGTAGCTGTATTGCTAGTCAACCATGTTTCGGTCACCGCGAAAAAGTCGTGCTCTTGTCCAGTTAATATATCCACAAAGTCAGAAAAACTAGATAGGATAGAACGAACGTTAAGGTGACCAAATGTCACTGTTTTTAGATTACCATCCATACTTGATAATTGAATTGTTGAAGTTTCACTGGAAAAAACGGACAAGAGAGACTTTTTGCGGAATGTTCAATCGAGAATGAACATTTTTTAAGATTGGAACACTTTACATATGCTCTCACTCTGTACGACACCCAGACAAGCTTCGAGTACTGCTCACATGTTTGGGGTGCTGCCGCCCCGACTACATTATCCATGCTCGATTCAGAGGAGGGCTGTCCGACTGATCGATGACTTTTCTTTAACGGACACTTTCTCGCACAGACTTGCTCTTCAGAGCTGTAACACGATGCCAGTGCGCAATGAGCCTGGCAGGCAGACCCGCCTTCGGTCTCCCACAATAACTGAGTGGGTACGACCACTCCGTTGTCTCTCGGATGTCGAGATTGTAGAATAATATGCCTAAGAAGGCTTTGCCCAACAATACTAACCTTAGACAGTTCAAAAATCTAACTATCAAGGTCTTATAGCAGCTGCGGTGCCTGGTATTTAGGATTCTGTCCGCGCGGCAGCTTCGCCAGGTTCATCATCCTTTAGTGGTCATATTGACGTCCAAGATAATGAAAATTTCGTCTTAAGAAACTTTAAAGTTTGAAGGTATACTATTGATGAATCATTTAAAAAAACTTTAGCTCTTATTCGACCAAGCCCCTAGTATATCCAGTGTGTATTTAATGAATCTGAATTCAACTTTATTAGAATAGCGGTAGGTCTCACGAGTTCGATTTTCCAGCTGTAAACAAAGCTTACCGGTATTTTATCATTTTTTGATGGCCATAGTTCCGTAAAACTTTCCATGACATGCGGTCAAGCATTTCAGGAACAACGTTTCCATTTCAAATAAGAGAAACCGCTGTACAGATCGATGATACGAGAATAAAACCGGCCATACATGAGAAACCCCTTCAACATTCAGATAATCCCTGTATTCGTCGGAAAGATATGACATTCAAGTACATAAGCCGCCCTCAGGGCAACATAACCGGATGTGAGGAGAAATGGAATATAGTGGGTAAGGAAAGAAACGATACACTTGCAGATATCCTATGGACTACTTCTTCGGGTTATTTTTATATATTTATTCCTATGGCTGTAACCGCACATTATATAGTATACATTTTGTTAAAATGGGCTACCACCCAAGAAAAGTTACCTATGTTTGTCAAATTTTCGTAATTATATACTTGAATGATGTCCTCAAAAGTTAAAGTGTCTTGAGAGTTGAATCCATGGTCAAAAATTGGTAACTACGTACCTAACGGGCCTTCGACCAGGACGTTAAATTGGTTCAAAACTGCAAAAAAAACACACCTCTCAGAAGTACCTAAAAAATTCTCGACCTCAAAAACAAATCCCGATGCTATTGATTACCTAGTATTAACCTAAAATAAGCCCTGAGTGTTAGGTGATTTTTTGGGCACTTTGGTGAGTAAAAATCCTATTATTGACCAATAAAAATTCCTTGTAAGTTTCTAACATACATTGGTAAAAAACAAGTCAATAGGTTTATTAAATAGCCCTATTGTAAACCTTCAGGTTACAAGGATTCTTTTAGTAAATGTTCGTCAAAATTTGAACATTATCACTAACTTTGAGGGAAAAATTTCTATTATTATGAACTTGGAAGAAGAACTCGAGTTACAATGGCTTGCAAATATGTCTTCATAGTTACAGTACTCAAAAATAGCCAAAAATAACCTTACTGATCTTTGATGACTGTCTGGTTCTCGGTTCTTTCAATTTGTAACGTGCTTGTCTATGCGTGCTAGTTTCTTCAGTCGTATTTCAAAAAATTTAAACGCTGTTTCGTGCTTCTTGGATAGTCCTCAGCAAGGTCTAGGCTTGGTATCACTCCTCTGGGACAATTAGCGAAAGCATCGCAACTATTCTGGATCCCGGAGGATGTAACATTTTAGCAGCAAAAGGGAAATAGGACATAATACGCTTATATACTAAGTGACATATAAATCCGAACACCCAGTTTAAATGGTTTTATTTTAATAAAATTTTGTATAAGTACTTAATGAAGCATAATAAGTAAATGATAAAAATTTCAAAATGATTGCACTGCTTTAAAGCCCTTTGACCTTTAATAATGTGTGGATGCACCCTGATGTGCTACGCATTCTCCAACGCGCCTAGGCATGCTTCTGATCAGGTGGTCAATGTCCTCCTGTGGTATCTCATTCCAGGCAACCACCAACTCCTCTCGAAGTGCTTCTAGAGTCTGAGGAGGACGTTGCAAATTGAGCAATCTCCTACCCATCATATCCCACACGTGCTCAATTGGGGATAAGTCGGGAGATCTTGGTGGCCATGGTAACAATGTGACATCATTATGTTGAAAGAAGTCTATTGTGACTCTTGCAACATGTGGTCGGGCATTATCTTGTTGGAAAGTTGGATCTGCCAGGGTGTCAAGATAGGGTAAAAGATGGGGTTCTAGAACTTCGTGGATATAACGCTGCGCGTTCATGTTACCTCTGATGAAGATTAAAGGTGACCTGGAACCATAAGCTATAGCACCCCAAACCATAACTCCAACAGTGTGATGAACATGTCTTTCAACAAAAAACTGTGGATTCCTCCTTTCACCACGTCGCCTTCCAACCCTGGCACGACCATCGTGCATGCCTAAACAAAATCGAGACTCGTCACTAAAGACAATACTGTTCCATTCCTGATCCCAGAGTGACCGTTGTCTGCACCACTCAAGGCGATTACGTCGGTGTTCTCGAGTTAAAGGGAGGACCCAGTGTGGCCGGTATGAAAACAAGCCAAAACTTCTCATTCGTCGGTAAACACTTCGCATGCCAATAGGTCTTCCGTGTTCTGCAAACCATTCATTTGCAATGGACCTGGTAGTGGAGAAACGGTCCCTTAAGGCCAATAATCTTAGACGGCGATGTTCACGGTCTGTTGTTCTACGGCGGCGTCCAGTGCCCCTTGCTCTTTGCGTACGGCCTTCTCGAAGCCATGCCTGACAACACCTAACCGCAGTGTCTACACTTCTTTGCACTCTAACTGCAATTGCCCGAAAAGAAAGTCCAGCTTCCCGAAGTCCCACTATACGGCCCCTATCAAACTCACTAAGGATGTCAAGAACCAAAATCCGCCAACGTTGATTCTTTACTGCGGCTGAAATATTCATTTTTAGAGCGTTGGTGAATTAAAAAAAAAGCAGTATAAAAACCGGAATGTCCAACTGATAAGGCTGAAAATTTTTTCACTTGTTATTTACAGTAAGATAAATACATTCACTAACTTTTATTAAAATAAAACCATTTAAACTGGGTGTTCGGATTTATATGTCACTTAGTATAGTTGAAAACTAGATACACAAGAGCTGCATTATCGTTTCAAGGTTGAAAAGTATAAAATGACACGATTCCAAAATTAGATTTCCACTCTTTCGGCTAGTGTTTAAACCTTTTGGAAGTAAAATCTTAATCAATAAATTAGTTTTCACTATCACAAGATTGTCACAAAGGTAACTGACAGCACAATAAATTATTTCTTTCCCTTAGCAACAAATAACTAAACAGGTATAAAAATAAATACAGTTCGCCCAGCATATCTGTGCTGATGAAAAGAATGCGGAAAAAAGATCGGGTTGTTTCAAATTATAAACGAATTGTAGATTTGGCAAACATTTTGAAAGCTTATTGAAATAATAAGTGATATTTTCGTGTGTTTTTGTTATATATCCGAACAAATTAAGATAAATAAAGAGTTTTCCAATTTTCTCGAAAACGAATCGACTGATTTTTAAAAATCAAACGTCAAAATGAAGGATCGAAGGATTCGAACATAAATATTATTTCAAGTTTTTCTTATATCGACTGCTATACCACAATAAAATATTTTTTTCCAATAATAATAGTCTGACAAAAGTTACTTGAATGCAAGTTTATAAAATTGAATAACTTAAGAAAAGATATAATAGAAACAGATATTTCAAGTCGAACAATAACTTCAACGCCCTGTATATCGGTAAGGGTACATTTCAAAATGTAGAACTTTTGAGGAAATTACTTAAAAATTTCAATAAAAAATTAAAGAGGATCACTGCAGTAGAGGATATTACTGATATACGGAATGTCTAAAAACAAAAAGTATTATGGCTCAACAGTTGTGGGAATACGCTTTAACGCCTCCCTTGAATGAAACTCGTTTCACATACCCACGGTTTAAGATTACAGGGCTTTTATCTCTTTTATATGTGCCAGGTTATACACCATCATAATCGGCCATTTCACCAAATGAAAAATTGATATTGGTTTTACTGCTGCAAGAGATCGGTGAGAGAGAAAAAGGGAGGCAGCTATTCATTCTGGGACATCAAATTTTGTCGCGCTCAACGCTTTCATAAAACATAAAACATTGGACGCCATCTGTGAGGTATTGCAAT